TTACTGTACAAAATTTCAGGCAATTTGGTTTAGTTTAAGCCCTTTAACTATTCACGCAAAGTTACATTTTCCCTAAAAATCAGCTATTTGCATGCTTAATAATGCCTTTGCCTAATTTGCATATGTTAGCAATATGCAAATTAGGTAAACGCATTAATTAAGCATGCGAAAGGCTGATTTTTTAAAATAAAATGAATAGTTAAAGGGCTTAAACTCAACCAAATTGTCTGAAATTTTGTACAGTAATTAAAAACTCGACAACGTTTCCATCTATTAACTCAAAATATGATTACAACTTTTAAATTTTGTGCGCGAGCCATTTTTAGTTTGTTGGAAAAGACACCCCCCCCCTGGTTCACAAAATTTGAGTTTGAGGAATTTTTTTCATTAATCTACATTATAAGTACCCAAAGAAGCTATATACATAAAAAACCGGATGCAAATAGGTGCTTTGCGAAATTGAGAGCAATTTCAAATCTGTTCAGTTTTTTTTTATACACCCTGTATAGCTGGAATTGCCCATTGGGTCAAGCGTGCGGTAAACGGTAAGGATGCGATTGGAGAAAATTAAATAAAAAAAGCCGGTTATTTGACGTCATTCTAAGTCCCTAGGCCTATTTGGCTTCGTCGCAAAGAAGAAAACGTAGTGCACGAGCTTGGTGAGGTTTAGCAAAAGTTGAAAAGTATAAACGAGCCTTATGCACGCCCAAATAAATCCGCCATATTGAAGTTGTTTCTATTTTTACATCTCCACTATCTATTAATTACCTCTCTGATGGATATAAAAGGCAGGAATAAACATGTAAAAGGCATAAAGTAAAGCACACAAACCATTACATAAGACGTTCTGTTCCAGAGTCTTGACTATCTCCAAAGTCACCACAATCGTTGACCACAGTTTCGCTTTCACATGCATCCACTCGAGATGGAGTAGGGAAAACTTGGAAAATGATCACACCCAGTACGATGACGATGAAAGAGAAAATGTAAAGCGCGGAGAACTAGAGAATAAAAGCGTGAAACAAAATCAGGACTTTTTCACAAGAGGTTCAACAGAGGTTTTGCAGAACGTAGGATGTTAATTTTTGAAACAGAATGAAAGAAAGAAAGTGTTGAGATTTAGGAAGTTGTGGGGTCATGGAATTAACGATATGGTAATGACGTCCCTTTTAGGGTACTGTTGTCCCACGTCTGAGAATCTAATCGTATTTGGGGGCAAAATGGTGGATAAGCCAAGCGTGAGAACAGGGATGAAAAAATAGGCGAGCACTGCTCACAGGAAATGTTATAATAAACAGCTGCAGGAAATTCGTTTGAATGAAGATTTGCTATTGGAAATTTGAAGGAAACCTTAACACCCATGTCCCACTATGGGCGCAACAACATATGGTTCTCACTCACCGTATAACTGAACAAATAGAGACCAGCAAACAAAGAATATAGGTCAGCGGTAAGTAGCATAAGGTTAACTAGCGTTGCAGTGCTGAGACTGATTAATAATGGCATCACAGAGTAGAAAGTAAACAATGACAACACACTGAGAATTAGGAATAGTACTAAAAAGACAAGCAGAAACAGTATGTCAGTGTTGGCAAAGTTACTTACAGAAAATGGTTAAAGTGCATGACACAAAACTGTTTATTGTCTTAAGCAAAAAAACCTCCACTAAGGGCAAAATTCAAAGTGTTTGTTTCAAACTTAGTTGAATTAATATACATGTATGTTCCACTTTAAACTGTGGCATGTGACAAAATGAACAAGGATGATATTGATACAAAAAGTTATGTATACACTTACTTGTTTCGTAGTTCCAGACAATATTGCTCAAATGATCCCATTCAAATATAACCCTGTAAAATGTGATTGTCAGTGGTAGTATTTCGCAAATTATGAGAGGAGGACAAAATTTATTATTTTACTCAGTCAAATGGTACAATCATGAAAACATTTTTCAAATATACATGTATATTAATACTTACACATTAGCTCCAGAGAAAAAACAAGCAAAAAATGACATCATTCCCATGAACTCAGTAATGGTTGACGTCTTCACAACAAACTCCTCAGCAACATTGCTGGCTGCATAGCAACATGCACCTGCTATCACTAACATGTCTCCCAACAGTTGACTGTGACGATTACCTGCAGAATAAGTAATATTTTGAGATATCAGGATAAAACTAATGACAATTCCCATTATAGACTAATTTTAAGACTAGGCAGAAAGATGCAAATAAATCAACTTTTATTATACGAGTCATATAATATTATATTGCCACTCAATCCTTGAAAAAGTTCATAATTAAGCTGGTGACATTGGCCAGTGCCTTTAAATTTGAAGCTCAAGATTCGAAAAGGACAAAAATAAATTCAACAGCCAAATTTATTGCAAATTCATGCATGGTGGTTACCAGAATCTCAACAGAGGCATAGCCAAGGCAAGGGCTGGGGGGCCCTCCTGAGAAAATTCCGGTCCCACCTAGGTTTTTGCGGGCCCCTCGGACCAAAAATCCTGGCTATATGCCTCTGAATCTCAATCCTTTTGGGTTTGGCCATCACTCGTTGTACCTCAAGGTTTTCCCTACCTGGTTTCGGTCCTTGACTTCGGGATGTGAAATCGGCCCAGACCATAAGTCCTAGTCCAACCAGACATACAGAAACACCAAAGAAATGAACAGGTTTGTATTTAGCTTTCAATACAATAATTGATAAAAAAACCACACCTGGAATACTGAGACAATCTAAAAGCTAAGAAAAAGAATAAAAGCCCAAGTTAATTATTTGTTGTGTTGCCAAACCAATGTAAATTTTGACCTAGCTCAGAAAAATCCATATACTTCAATGTAAATTCTACCTGAACACTAGTTAAGCTGGTATATTCATAAGCCGTAAACACTAAAAAGTTTCCATAAACATCAATGATAGCAATTATGATGTATTTCCACCATCTTTTTTTCACAATTTTCACTGCTTCTTCAGTCTTGCATGCAAGTCTTGTCGTAAACACCATTGCCAGCAGCATATAATTACAGAATGCCAGGAAGCCAGGTATCTTGACACCACAAGCCATCACTAGTTTTTGACTTCCTACACCAGTCGCACATAACACCAAAGACAAACATTGTCCGCAAATTATTATGGCAACAAATCTCCTGAAAAATTAAGGGTCTATTGAGATAAAACTTGCGTCCTTTTTATTATTTACTCAATCCATATGGCAAATGCAAGGCAATTATATAAGTTTGTGCTGCTAATTAATGCAGTTTAATCACAGAATTAAGGAACCTTACAGGAGGTCAACATCTTGGTTTTGCAGTCTTTTGCCTATCATTTTGGCATACTGTATGATACTGTTGCCATGGTCACAGAATGGTTTGTTCCAGAAAAGATCCATACTCCCCCCAAGGAGGAAATTTCTGCCGTCCAGAGGGGGAGGGGAGAAAAAATAGTATCTGATAATAGTAAATGTATTAGGACATCCGAAGGGGGGGGG